TTAGCATGAGTAGGGAAATGAGTTCAGTTTTGAACATGACGAGTTTGAGGAGCTGGTGGCTGGACGACAGCTGGATAGACAAGTGTGAGGCTTATAAGACAGATCTGAGCTCTAGTTATGCTATGGGGAGCCTTCATCATTTACATAGTAATTGAAGCTTTCAGAAAAAAGAAAGAAAGAAGGAAAGACTTCAAATGTAAAGGAGAAAGGTCAGCCTTGTAAAATGCAACCAGAGCTCAAGTAACAATGAATGACAAGGAAGCTGATTGTGGATGATCTTGACAAGAGCAATCTCAGTGGATTGGGAGGAGGGAGAGTCAGTGCCATTGGGTAGAGGGAAATAAGAGGAAGTTCGTAGGATACATGAATGTGAACAAATTTTATAGAGAGGCTTGACCGTGAAGGAGAGGAGAGAGAGAGCTGGAGGGGAAGAGGGTGAAGGAATGCATTTATTCAAGACAGACTTGAGCAGATGTAATTGTTGTTGTAAAGGAGCAGGCAGAGCAAGGGGAAGAGAGAAAGATGGAGAAACAAGATAACAAAGTGGGAGAAAATGAATCACTGGTAAGTTGGGGGTGTCCAGGAAGGCAGGATGCATTGGAATTCACAGAGCAGATACCTGTCCCTTTCCCTGTGGGGAGGATGATGACTTTGCAGGTACGTCTGATGGCAGGCAGCGGAGAGTTGCTGATGGCTTTTGTTTTCTCCCTAATCTAGATGGCGAGACCTTCTGCCGGGGGAGGGGGTGTGCTTGTCCACTGAAGGTCAGATCAGAAGGTTTGAAGCAGCTGACTGTTGGCTCAGGAAACAAGACCCACGGGGAGCCTGGGCCAAGTCAGACACCGCACCTTCATAGTGATGTAAAGTTCAAGGCACAAGTTCAGAGACTGTGGGCATGCGGATGGAAGGGGGAGTAGCCAGGTCTTGAGGGAGGCTGTGACAGAAAGAAAGGGAGTGGCGGAGAGGAGCCGGAGGTATTGGCGAGGACATGGTTGAAGTGATGAGGGCCTTTGGACTCCAGTTGACACGGAAGGAGGTGTTGATGTGGAAGAGCTGATGTAACAGAACTGAGTGCTGGAGCAGGAAAGAGCGCTCTGGGGTCCCTGGGAGGTGGAACACTGCCGTGGGGGAAGGCCCAGGGGAGGGGCCAGGGGGCCGGGTAAGCAGAGCTGAGGGGGGCGTGACTACAGACCATACCCTGAGAGGCACTTCTGGCTGCTGAAGGTGTCTGGATGGTGGCTTCCGGATCGGTTTTGTTCTGACCTGAGATTGACTTCCGGGGATGAGGGGGAACATAGGCTTCTCTTTCTATTCAGGATTGGTAGAAAATTAGATAGGATTCCCAGATCCAAACCGGTGGATTTCCTCCTCCAGACTGGACAGTCTAATCCCAACCCTGAGTGATTTCTGAATATGGAGATCACCATGTCATTTTCCATTTCCAGAAGAAGAAGACTTCACTGGATCAAGTAAAAAGGTAGATTATAATGTCAAATGATTCTCTGGGAGGCAAAGCCGGCGGCTCAGCTGTCCAACCAACTTGGGGAGTTTTCTCTCCCTGGGAAAGGAGACCCCAGCTTACATCTGGGAGATAGTCTATTTCCCTCTGATTTTGAAAGATTGAAGTAATGAAGGAGTAGTGTTCTTTGGAGAGGGAGAACTTGGGGTCACTTGAGGGTGGAGTTGGGGAGAAGCGTTTACTTTTAATTTTATACACTTATACAATTAAATTGGCTTTACAGTGAGCCATCACTATTTTTTACTCTATTTTTATTATTAGAAATTATTACATGAATAGTGTCATAAAGTAACACTGGGTGAAAGGAAAAATGAAGGACAGAGAGCCAGGGAAGGGCAGGGGAGGCAGGAGGAATTAGAGAGACGGCAAAGGCAGATTAGGCAACGGAATGACCAGAGATGTAGATCGGAAGGTCAGCCTTACACACTGAGACTCACGGTGACTATGATAGCGGGCTGCCGCGGGAGCCCCACGTTTTCTGGGTCTATGGCCACACTTCTTAACCTTTACTGTGCATTAGAATCACCCGGGGACATTGAACAATTCCTCAGGCCCAGGTGGCGGCCAGACCAACGAAATTAAACCGTCCCAGAGTGGGAGCCAGGTGTCAGTGTTTCAAAGCCCCCCGGGGATCCCAGTGTGCAGCCAAGTTTGGGGACAGACATTTCTCCTCTGGGTTCGCACACAGGACACGTCCTGGGATATAGCGGCCATCCCTTTGCGGGTGTCCTGGCTAGAGGGGGCTGGGATGCTGACGGAGGCTCCCCCACCCTTCCCCGGTGGTGGGCGGGGTGGGGGAAGGGGGCGTGGCTCAGGGGAAGCACCTGTGGGGGAGATTTCAGGTTCTGTGCACTGGCTTGGTCCAGAGGCGGAATTACGGAGATTGCAGAACAGGAATTTTCAAACTGTGTTCTGGGGAGCCTTAGGGACCTGGTGAGTGGGTTCAGCCCCCCAGCGGGACAGGGCGTCGTTGGGAGAGCAAAGGAGGGCCCCGCAGGCTTCAACCAGGGCTGCCCTGAGTCCACCTCGTATCTGAGGATTCCAGGAAAGATTCTGCTTGAAAGAAGTGTTGGAGTGGGAGGGGAAGAGCGGGAATTGGGGAGGGAGGAATCATTGTGTGTGGTTTTGTTTGTTTTTTTTTTTCCTATAGCAGTGATCAGCCAACCATGGGCCCCCAGGAGCTAAGAATAGTTTTTCCATTTTTAAATGGTTGGGGGGAAAATGTTATGACACATGAAAAGTACACAAGATTGAAACCCAGTCACACCCGTTTGTCTCACTGTCTGCAGCTGCTTTGTCTCGCAGAGTCGAGTAACTGCAATAAAGACCTTAGGTCCACGGGGCCTCAATACATCATATGGCTCTTTACAGAGAATATTTGCCAGCTTCTGTGCCAAAGGAATTAATGGAAACAACTTTTTCACTTTTTGCGGTTTGGTAATGGTCACTTTGCCATTTCTATCAGAGAGAAAATTGGGGGCTGGGCATACATGTGTATCATTTAGGTAAACAAATACCGGATGCACATGTGTGGTGATCCAGTCGTTTCTGGACCTGCTTTCTTACTGTTCTGATTTCTTCCTTCTTGTCTGGTGAGATAAATATGTACCATTCTTTTTTATTTTCTTTTAATCAACCTAAAAACATTTTTTTAAGAGCAGCGTTAAGTCCACAGCAAAGCAGAGTGGCAAGTCCGAAGAATCCCATAGGCTCCCCTACCCCTCACAGGTACCGCCTCCCCTCTGTCAGCATCCCACTGCTCACAGTCAATGAGCCCGCATACACACGTCATTATGGCCCAAAGTCCACAGTTTATATTACATTTCACTCAATGTGTTGCAGATAGAACTGTTTCGACCAGCGTATAATGACATGTGCCCTCCTACCCCCCCCCACTGTAGTATCATACAGAGTACTTCACTGCCTTAAAAATCCTCTGTGCCCTGCCTGTTCATCTCTCTCTCCCCTCTAACGCCTGGCAACCACTAACCTTTCTTTCTTTCTTTTTTCTTTTTTTTAACGTTTATTCAATTTTTGAGAGACAGAGTGTGAGCAAAGGAGGGGTTGAGAGAGGGAGACACAGAATTCAAAGCAGGCTCCAGGCTCTGGGCTGTCAGCACAGAGCCCGATGTGGGGCTCGAACTTAGGAACTGTGAGATCATGACCTGAGCTGAAGTCTGCCACTTAACTGACTTAGCCACCCAGGCGCCCCTCATTTTTTTTCCCTTTGTATGGTCTCCATAGCTTTGCCTTTTCCAGAATGTCATATTTTCGCAATCATACAATATGTAGACTTTTCAGGTGGGCTTCTTTCACTTAGTAAATGTATTTATGGTTCTTTTGTGCCATTCTTTTCCATATTTGATTAAGGGCAGGGCCAGGCAGGGGCGGGCCCTGGATACCAATTTCTAAGGGCTACTGACAAGATAGAGAACATTATCTCCTCCAGAGTGTTGTGTAAGGAGTAGGAGATGAGACTCCCAAGAGTCCAAGGATACGAGATGGGACAGTGGATTCCATTCTGCAGAGGGAGACAGCAGTATAGTCTAGCGTGGGAGTTCTACTGCGTAGAGCCTGTAAGTTTGCAACCAGAATGGAACTGCTATGGATTAAGATAAAACAGCTCCCTCCTTTCTTTGTTTTCAACACGGCACTAGGCCTGTGCTATAAATAAATGGCGTCCCCCAATTTAAAGAATACTGGCTTAAAAGATGTTGAATTATTACTCTGCTGGAGTGCCCACATGTCTTACAGTAGCTCAAGATATATATCATTGGCATGATCTAAAAGAATTACCAACTTTAGGGGCGCCTGGTGGCTCAGTCGGTTAAGCGCCCAACTTCGGCTCAGGTCATGATCTCATGGTTCAAGCTCTGCGTCGGGCTCTGTGATGACAGCTCAGAGCCTGGATCCTGCTTCAGATTCTGTGTCTCCCTCTCTCTCTGCCCCTCCCCCACTCACATTCTGTGTCTCTCTCTCTGAAAGATAAATAAAGGTTAAAAAAATTTTATAAAAAGAACTACCAATGTTGAAGCCTTGAATTCTTATTCCAGTATTTATCTGGACTCTAACCACACGTTTGGGTGGCTTTTTATTTTTATTTTTATTTTTATTGCGTAGCTGGTAATACATCGTTTGCAACTTCCAGTGAGGCCACCAAATAACATCTATGACTACCTTTTTGTCATTTGAACGACATGATCTATGAGAACTGTGTTGTTGTCAAGCGGTCATTTGATTCTCAGAATCTTAACCTTGTCACATGTTAGTTTTTAGGGAGTCTGAAAGAGGGAGAGATGTGTAGAGCTGAATACTAATACATCTCCTAACTGGATTGGACTTATTACTTCAAGTCAACTGGCTTTATTGCAAGTCCACTGTGGCACAGCATGGCAAAAGATGAACGGGACATGGTCTGCTCTTGGCACGTAGTTAATGGAGAACAACTGTTGAATTTGTTTCTTGTTCCCTTGTCCCTCAGGTCCAATCTAACCCAGGACTCGATGTTAGGAATGATGAGCTGTCCTTTCCGAACGGCACTGTGGGAGCCAACACATTTCTCCAGGGCTCCAGACTGATCCCTGTCTCCCCAAGGAAGACACTAGAGCCCAGGTGCCGAAGAAGCCGGGCCAGGAGGTCCAAGGTGGGCTCTCCAGAGTGCCCAGTGCCCAGTGAATGCCCAGTGTCAGACAGCTTTAGTGGAACTTTGTGGAAAAGCCCTGGTTGCTCTTCCCAGGACAGCAGCTCAGCCATGGGTGCCCAGATGCATCTGCCTTCTCCTCACCGCCAGCCTGGGGCCAGAGCAAAGGTCCTCAGCCCGGAAAAGAGCTTTGAGAAGCTGGAGGCAGAAACGAACGTTGACACAGGGCACACCACGGTCAGTTGTGAACCCAGGCAATCTTTTCCGAGCAGATTTCCAAGGGACTTCCGGGCCAGCCGGCCACCAGCCTGCTTGCCAGACTCCTCCATAGGGTCAACCCCTGCCTCCAAGAACAATAAACTCTCTAAGGAAAGGATCCATTGTTTGTCTCTTGCCGGGCAAAGGGATCTTGGTGCAAGGAAGACAATGTCAAAGAGCCTCCTTCACCTGCCAGCCCAGGGTGAAGAAAAAGAAGAAGAAGAATTCTTTATATAGCACAAAACAAACGTGGTTTCCTAAAACACAAGATCAGATACGGTGTTCTAGGAATGGAGCCCTCGGACCTAGAGTCAGGCTTGTTTCTTGTTCATGGGAGGGGACCTGAGTGCTAGCCATGCATGGATCTGTACTGCGTGTATTTCAAATGTTCCCAATCTAACGGTGCTGTGAATGGTTATTTGCTATCACGGTCATGAAGGAACACAGCCAACGTGTGGGGGGAAAGCCCTTGGAGAAACACTAACCCAGCTGGGTGTGATGAGTTCAGCACCTATCAGGAATAATTGCATTGTGTGCAAATGAGTCAGGTGTGCTACCCAGTGCCGATGAGTGTATGCGGTTTGGTTTTAATTTTTACTTGGATTGTATAGCTCATCCCCCTGGACAACATGGACTATTTACTCTTTAGTGTTTTTTTAATTTTTACGTGACCTCCTTTGGTAACTATGCTCTGTACACCACATAGCCTCTAGTGATTTTACCTTTAAAGTTGTTTGTGTCTACAATGAGTTAACATGCAAGTGTTTTTGACAATTACAAACCATTTATTTTTTTCCTGTTTAATGAAGAGAAACACTGGAAGCCAAGAAATCAGGTGAAAAATGAAAGCTAGGCTCTGGGACTTCTCCGCTTCTCCGTTTCTTATTTGTTTCTTCCCTACTCCAAAGGGGCCAGCGGTTCATGTTTCTGACCAGAGAGGAACATGCCACGATTGGATGATTCTAGATCTCGACTCAACGTGGCAAGAAGGTTGGATTGGATGGGTCATTGGAGCAGGACTTTTGCTCTTCTGGCCATATTCAAATTCCTAAATTTCTTTGCAATACTCATTCATTCATTTATACACTCATTCATTTAGCAAGTATTTATTGATCACCTACGTTTGAATGAGACCTTGACATATGGTCCACATACATTCGGTGGCCATCCAACCCCAAAAGTATTCCTGGTCTCACCAGAATAGATTCAATCTATCAACACTTGAGAATATGTTGAAGTCTTAATTCCTCTGGAACCCTTTCCCACGACTGATTTTCACACTTGCTGCACAAGGCTGTAGTAACCATTCACCACCTGCAGGTGGAGACTGGGCATATTATAAATTGTAATTATAACTACAATGGACGAATTCTCAGTTGCTCAAAGACTGTATTTTTTTGTTGGGTCTGTACACACATTTTTAAAACATCTGAGACCTCTGTATTGTGGTTAATTTATAACGTAATTTGACTCCATGAACTTTATTCTCCAGAACAGATGTTAAATAACCCTATGAATGCTCATTTGGCTGGATCTTTGTGGTGATCCCGACACTTAGTATACCCACTTGGAAAGAAGGATGAGCTCAGGTTCAAGCACGAGTCTCAGGGAAGAGACACCTGGCTGAGTTTGGGTGTTTTGCTGACTTTGAAGGATAGAAATGAAGAAGAGTTGCAAATAGGCAAAGATAAGATTTCTAGCTTGATTTTATATTTCTAAGCACACGACATCAATATATTCTCATTCTCGTTTTCCTTCTCTCCCCCAGACTAAAGTTAGATTTTAGGATATAGAAGAACTTAATTTTGGTATGATTTTCTATAATAAGAGTTTAAAATAATGAAAGTCTTACTTAAATTGAGCTCTTGAGCTGCCTTGGAAAGCACAACAGGCGGGCAGTTCCAATATTTCTTTCCTGCTTCTTTTGAGGTTACCTGAATTCTTTAACATAATACATAGGCAAGGATATAAGTACACGGAAATTATGAAGAATATTGATAAACGTGAAGGAGTATTTTACAAAATTGATTGGTCAAATAACACACTCTTAAAATGACACTGACTAGATCCTTCTCAACACAGGAATCCAATTTAGAACATTATGGGAGGGAAATTCCAGTGGGCCAGGGTGCCAAAGTCCCCACTTTGGGCCCTAGCTTTTAAATGGTCTATTTGCGGGACCTTGAACTGTCAGCCCTTTGATCCTCTGTTGCCTACTGTAACAAACGGTTGTTAAGAGAATCAAGATTATGCACGTGAAAGTATTTGGATATTGTTAAGCACAATAAATACGTAAGATAGTATTATTATTACAAATGGTCCTTCAGACCCTTGTTTTTTTAAAAATGTCATGGCAACAAAAGTATTTTTTTGAAACAACTTTTAGTAAAATCAATGATTCAATTAAAAAAAAAAATCAAACCCAGGAGCGCCTGGGTGGTTCAGTTGGTTAAGCGTCCAACTCTTGATTTTAGCTCAAGTCATGATCTAATGGTTCCTGTGTTCAAACCCCAAATCCGCTGACAGCATGGAGCCTGCTTCGGATTCTCTCTCTCCCCATTTCTCTCTGCCCCTCTGCTTGGAGTGCCCAGCCTCTCTCTCTCCAAAATAAATAAATGAACGCTAAAACAAAACAAAACAAAAACACAGCTCTCTAAGATTTTTGCTATGTGTGCCATTTGTTTACCTTCATGTATCCAGGAGGGAAATTACAGATGGAAAGAATCAAACATATCTTAATGTTCAAAATTGCATGAGATTGTATGTAACAGGAATAAACTATGAAGTAGTTTAACCCAACTTATCATATTAACCAGACTCTTGACTTGGTTATGCTGTGTTTTAAAAAAATTTATCACTTTTATTTTAATTCATTTATTTTTATTTAGTGTTTAGTGTTTATTTTTGAGAGAGAGAGAGAGCAGGGAAGGGGCAGAGAGAGAGGGGGAGAGAGGATCTGAAGAGGGTTCAGCGCTGAGGGTGGAGAGCCCAACACGGGGCTCGAACTCAGGAGCCAGGAGTTCATTACCTGAGCTGAAGTTGGATGCTTAACTGCACCACCCAGGTGCCCTCTTTCACTTTTTAAATCGGAGGGACTCCTGAGAATCAGATTACTTTATATATCTTTATAGGTACATTAAGAATCAGTTGCACTGCACTTGTTTAGCTATTTTTAACCTTATTAATAGTATATCATACTTTTTTGCAACTGTTATTGGGACATTGCTAAACATTACTAGAAATGGTAGCCTTCAGAAGCTTTCAAATGTGTTTGTCCATTAAGGGAAGTAGAGCAGGGGATGTGGGGGTGGAGAGGGGGAAGGGACGACACCCCTCGATTTCCAAAGGGAGGTGGGGCAGGACCCCCGGCTGCTTCCCAATCCACCCTCGGCTCTGATGGGATTTGTAGTGGAAGCCCCAACACTCTGCTCTCCCCTTTCCAGAGAAAGTCAGGGAAAGGGGAAGGGAAGCCAAAGAGAAAAGAATGGAGCCCGTTTCCTGTCGATTAGAAACTTAAATTTCATCTCCATGTTATAAAACCTTTCAGAGAGTCCTGAGGTAACTTAATACTGTCTGCCTTTCTTGAATCTTCTCTAAGCCTTCATGCTTGGGCTTTCTCTCCCTTCTCCCTTTCCTTTCCTTTCCTTTCCTTTCCTTTCCTTTCCTTTCCTTTCCTTTCCTTTCCTTTCCTTTCCTTTCCTTTCCTTTCCTTCTTTCCTTTCCTTTCCCCTTTGCTTTCCTTTCCCCTTTCCTTTCCCCTTTGCTTTCCTTTCCTTTCCTTTCCTTTCCTTCCCCCTTTCCTTTCCCCTTTCCT